AGAAGGGAAATAAGATTAGAGCAGAGATCAATGAGATACAGTAGATCAGAGATACAGTAGAACACATCAACGAAACTAAAAGCTGATTCTCTGAAAGACTTAAGATCGATAAACCACTGGCCAAACTAATCCAAAAGAAAACAGAGAGGACCAAACTTAATAAAATTATGCATGAAAGGGGAGAGATCATGACTAACACCAAGGAAACAGAAACAATCATCACAAAGTATTATCAACACTTATATGCCAGTAAGTTAAACAACCTAAAAGAAATGGATACATTCCTGGAAACCTATAAACTTCCAAGACTGAAACAGGAAGAAACTGACAACTTGAATAGACCAATATCTACTAACGAGATTGAAGCAGTGATCAAAAACGTCCCAAAAAACAAGAGCCCAGGACCTGACAGATTCCCTGGGGAATTATAACAAACATTCAAAGAAGAAATAATACCTATTCTTCTGAAGCTCTTTCAAAAAAATAGAAAAAGAGGGAAAACTTCCAGACTCTTTCTATTAAGCCAGCATTACCTTGTTCCCCAAACCAGGCAAAGACCCCATCAAAAAGGAGAATTTCAGACCAATATCCCTGATGAATATGGATGCCAAGATTCTCAACAAGATGCTAGCTATTAGGATCCAACAGTACATTAAAGATTATCCACCATGACCAGGTGGGATTTATCCCTGGGATGCAAGGGTGGTTCAACATTAGCAAGTCAATCAATGTGATAGAACAAATCAGTAAGAAAAAGGAGAAGAACCACATGGTCCTCTCAATTGATGCAGAAAAGCATTTGACAAAATACAGCACCCATTCCTGATTAAAACTCTTCAAACTGGAGGGAAAGACAGAACATTCCTCAACTTGATAAAATCTACCTATGAAAAACCCACAGTGAATATGATTCTCAATGGGGAAAAACTGAGAGCCTTCCCTTCGAGATCAGGAACACAACAAGGATGCTCACTCTCACCACTAATGTTCAATCAGACAACAAAAAGCAATAAAAGGTACTCAAACTGGCAAAGAAGAAGTCAAACTCACTTTTCGCAGATGACATGATACTTTATATGGAAAACCCAAAAGACTCCACAACCGAACTACTAGAACTCATACAGCAATTCAGTAATGTGGCAGGATACAAAATCAATGTATAGAAATCAGTTGCTTTCTTATACACTAACAATGAAAATACAGAAAGGGAAAATAGAGAATCAATTCCATTTACTATGGCACCAAGAACCATAAGGTACCTTGGAATAAATCTAACCAAAAAGGTAAAAGATCTGCACTCAAGGAACTACAGAACATTCAAGAAAGAAACTGAAGAAGACACAAAAAGATGGAAAGGCATTCCACGCTCATGTATTGGAAGAATAAACATTGTTAAAATGTCTATACTGCCTAGAGCAACCTATACTTTCATTGCCATCCTGATCAAAATTCCACCAGCATTCTTCAAAGTGCTGGAACAAACAGTCCTAAAATTTGTATGGAACCAGAAAAGACTCCAAATTGCTAAGGAAATGTTGAAAAAGAAAAACAAAGCTGGGGGCACCACGTTCCTGGTTTCAAGCTTTACTACAAAGCTGTGATCACCAAGACAGCACAGTACTGGCACAAAAACAGACACACAGACCGGTGGAACAGAGTGGAGAGTCCAGATTTGGACCCTCAGCTCTATGATCAAATAATCTTCAACAAAGCAGGAAAAAATATCCAGTGGAAAAAAGACAGTCTCTTCAATAAATGGTGCTGGGAAAATTGGACAGCTATGTGTAGAAGAATGAAACTCAACCATTTTCTCATACCATACACAAAGATAAACTCAAAATGGATGAAAGACCTCAACGTGAGGCAGGAATCTATCAAAATCCCAGAAGAGAACATAGGCAGTAACCCCTTCGACATCAGCCACAGCAACTTCTTTCAAAACATGTCTCCAAAGGCAAAGGAAACCAAAGGGAAAATGAACTTCTGGGACTTGATCAAGATCAAAAGCTTCTGCACAGCAAAGGAAACAGTCAAAAAAACAAAGAGGCAACCCACAGAACGCGAGAAGATATTCGCAGATGACACTACAGACAAAGGGCTGATATCCAAGATCTATACAGAACTCCTCAAACTCAACACACACAAAACAGATAATCATGTCAAAAAATGGGCAGAAGACATAAACAGACACTATTCCAAAGAAGAGATACAAATGTCTAACAGACACATGAAAAAATGGTCATCATCATTAGCCATCAGGGAGATTCAAATCAAAACCACATTGAGATACCACCTTACACCAGCTGGAATGGCCAAAATTAACAAGACAGGAAACAACATGTATCGGAGAGGATGTGGAGAAAGGGGATCCTTCTTAAACTGTTGGTGGGAATGCAAGTTGGTGCAGACACTTTGGAAAACAGTGTGGAGATTCCTTAAGAAATTAAAAATAGAGCTTCCCTATGACCCTGCAATTGCACTACTGGGTATTTACCCCAAAGATACAGATGTAGTGAAAAGAAGGACCATCTGGACCCCAACGTTCATAGGAGCAATGGCCACGGTCGCCAAACTGTGCAAAGAACCAAGATGCCCTTCAACGGACGGATGGATAAGGGAGATGTGGTCCATATATACTATGGAGTATGATGCCTCCATCAGAAAGGATGAATACCCAACTTTTGTAGCAACATGGACGGGACTGGAAGAGATTATGCTGAGTGAAAGAAGTCAAGCAGAGAGAGTCAACTATCATATGGTTTCACTTATTTGTGGAGCATAACAAATAAAATGGAGGACATGGGGAGATGGAGAAGAGAAGGCAGTTGAAGGAAATTGGAAGGGGAGGTGAATCATGAGAGACTATGGACACTGAAAAACAATCTGAGGGTTTTGAAGGGGTGGGGAGTGGGAGGTTGGGGGAACCAGGTGGTAAATATTAAGGAGGGCACGGATTGCATGGAGCACTGGGGGTGGTGCATAAACAATGAATTCTGTTACGCCGAAAAGAAATAAAAAAAAAAGTGAGGCAAACAAATCAAAACAAAAAGACTGAGAAGGAAAATAAATAAATACATAAATAAATAAATAAATAATTGGGCAGAGGATCTAAAGAGACAATTTCCCAAAACACACAGGAGGACAACAGGCATATGAAAAGCTCCACGTCACCCATCACCAGGGAAATGCAAACCCAAACCACAACGAGCCACCACCTCACACCTGCCAGAGCGGCTGTTATCAAAAATAACATGTTGGCAAGGATGTCGAGAAAACGAGAACCCTCGTGCATTGTTAGTGGGAATGTAAATTAGGGCAGACACTGGAAAAGAGTATGAGGATTCCTCCAAAAACCACCAAAAGAATGACCATATGGTACTCATGAGCAATTCCATTTTTGGGTTTATATCAGAAGAAAATGAACACACTAGTTTGAAAAGATATACACACCCCTACGTTCCTTGCAGCATATTTGCAATAGTCAAGATCAGGAGACAACCTAAGTGTCCATCTATACATGAATGAACAAAGAAGATATGGTGTACGCATGTGCGCACATGTGTGCACACGCACACACACACACGCACACACACACTGGAATCCTACTCAGGCATATTAAAGAATGAAACCTTACTATTTGTGGCATTAATGGACCTCGAGGATACTTTGCTAAGTGAAATGAGGCAGACAGAGAAAGACAAGTATCAATGATTTCACTGATAAGTAAAATCTGAAATACACAACTAACGAAACCAAACCCTGTCTCACAGATACGGAGAACAGACTGGTGGGTGCCAGAGGGGAAGGGAGCTGGGGGAGGGGACAAAATGGGTGAAGGGAATCAAAAGGAACAAACATTCAGTTATGAAATAAATCAGCCAAGGGGATGTGATGCACAGCACAGGAAATAAAGTCAGCATTACTGTGTTAATTTTGTATGCGGACAGATGGTAACTAGACTTACGGTGGTGATCAATTTGCAATGTATACAAATGTTGAATTATTATGTTGTACACTTGAAACTAAAAGGACATTATATATTAATTATATTAATATACAACTTAAAAAACGGCAAAAAGAGGACACATTGCTTTTAGAGATCTGCTGTTCATCATTTCACTCCTGCCGGTCTCAGAAGGTCCTATACTGAAAGCAAAACGCCCCGTGGAATGTAAGAATGCGTACACGCACAATCACTAAGTACTACGGCCGTATCTATGGCAGCAGAATTAACAAGTGAGGTCTTTATTCACCAGTGTGTTAACTTCCAAAGAAGGTAAAAAATAGCTTAAGGTTGTGTTTTAATTACACCCTTGGTTATAAGACTAAACCTGACAGAGTCCTATCATGGCAAGGCTATAGACGAAGTCTACTGAGTATAATGAACCCTTTCCGGGCAGCAACTGGCCAGCAGTGAAGTTTGTCTGAGGAGAGGATATGCGAAGCACATAATGCGACAGTAAGGGTCTGGCTCTGTGCTTCCATCCTATGAAACAGCCTCCCCATCTCCATCAAGTTTCACGGCTGTGCAGGAATTACCAGTTTATAAGAAGTCACTATCATGACATGATTAAAAACTTTGTTCTTTTGAAAAAAATAGGTAACATTAAGAAAGGCAATTGCAGACGCCAGCGACAAAGTGAATGGTCTAGCTTCAAAATATTTCATAAATGCTTTTAGTTTCTATTTAACACTATTGCAAGTTTAAGGCAATCAGTTACAATTTTCTTTCAAACTTAATACTTAATGGTAGAAATAATGGAATTTACAAAGATTTCAGGATTTCCTTATTAATGTTAAAGAGGTCTCCTCTTGAAACAACTACAACTGGTTAATAAGGTCATTAGGAATCCTCTGGATAGTTAAATTTTATTTATTTAACCCCTGAAAATATTGCTGCTATTGTACACTGTTACTTGCTCTTAACTTGTTTTCTTAATATTTTATATTTTTAAAGAATCCCCGAGCTCTAGGGAAGTCTACTGCAGCAAATCGCTTACCCAAATTGACTGGTCTGTGCCTACAGACTTCACTGATAACTGCTTGGAGATTTGCAGCTATCTGGTCACTTGACATATCCAACTGAAAGAAAAGGATATATAACATTAATAATGTGAACGTGAGAAGATAATACAACTTTTGGTAACTGTACAAGTAATTATCAATTATCTGTTAAGAGACCCTACTGTGAAAGAAAAAACTTCCATCACTCTTCTTTTAGAAGCTACACTCCCATGTCGTTACATGTCAAGACTTAATTACCTTATGAAACATATCACAGTAAAGTTTTTTCAAGCTGCTCTACTTGAGATTCCTGATTTCCAGGTATTTTCCCCAAAGTACAACCTGAGGCAGAATATACCATCCCCTGATCCCTACACCCAAAGATTCAGGGATATTTCCTCTTGAAGTTTTTTGCTGGTATACTTTTTTTTTTTTTTTAAGATTTTATTTATTTGAGAGAGGGAGAAAGAGCATGAGCAGGGAGAGCTGGGGGAGAGGGACAAGCAGGCTCCGCACTGAGAGCAGAGCCCCGTGTGAGGCCCGGAGGTCATGACCTGACCTGAGTGGAAGTCAGAGCAGCCCACTGAGCTACTCAGGCACCCCTGTTGTTGATTTACTTTTGAAAGAGACTATGAAAATGTTCAGAAATTCATGCTCTCAGGAGTACAAAATAAAACTACTTAACCACACAACACACCCCTGCTACAGGGACATTTCCAGGACTATGCTAACGCTCTATGAAATAACAAATATCCTGCTATTCAATGAAAACAGTAGTGAGTAAATATACAGTGAACAAGCCCTATACGTAAAATTCTAGAAGCCAGCTCACAACTGCGGAAAGTCCTTATGTTTACCATGTTACTCTTCTAAAATATACCAGTTAAAATCAGCTACATTACATCCCAATGTTTAAAGGATTTTACGTTTTGCTAAATGAATCAATTCTTTAAAAATTCATGTAAAACTCAAAATAGCATAACTGGAAAAAAAAATCACATGGTAATAGTTGGAAGTTCAAGCAAGATTTCTATTCTCCTGTGATTCTGAAATCCCTATGAGAAATGTGCTGTGTCAGTATGAAGAGAATTCCTCATGAAAAAAAATCTTCTCATTATCACCAGACAATACTTATTTGACACTCACTTGGACAAGATGTAATACCAAACCCTAAATGAGAAGGTCTGGACATTACTGGAGAATTTTCACTTAAGCCAATCTGAGTTCTGAGTTCTAAGGGGGAAAAAAAAAAAAAAAAAAAGCCAATCTGAGTTCTGAGGGGGAAAAAAAAAAAATCAAGCAATGCTTATGAATTCACCTTCTTAAGTCCAGAGAACTTACAGGCTTTAATCACGTAGTTAACTAGCAGAAAAGGCACCTTACATTTGCAATGTTAAAAAACAAAACAAAATAAAACAAAAACTAAGGGTATTAACATGTATCTCCCTTCATTCCTCTCTCAACTGTCTACATTAATCAAATTGTCCTATTATCAACTGAAGCAACCACCACAGCTCTGTTAAGTTCCTTCACCCTTTGTTAAAGACCTGCAGCTACCTTAAATTTGGGAAAGTAATAGATACAAGAAAGAGCAGATGTCCGATACATGCTTTTACTATTTACTATTAAGTTATGCTCTACACTGTTACATTATAAAATATTAAATAATATACTAAACTCAACTATACTTTTGTGGACTTATACTGCCTACAGTTAGTTTAAATAAGATGCTGGGGCACCTGTGGGGCTCAGTGGATTAAGCTGCTGCCTTGGGCTCGGGTCATGATCTCAGGGTCCTGGGATCGAGCCCCACATCTGCCTCAGCATCCCTACTGAGCAGAGAGCCTGCTTCCCTCTCTCTCTCTGCCGGACTCTCTGCCTACTTGTGATCTCTCTCTCTCTGTCAAATAAATAAAATCTTTAAAAATAAATAAATAAATAAATAAATAAGATGCTGAACACATGCAACATATGCTTGAGAAATACAAAACAAATAATTCCTCTATGACTTTCATTATTAGGATGACTTCAAGGACTTCATTAAGTTTTAAAATATGTAAAAATGTCTTTAAACATAGTTTACATTTTTGTCCAAATTTCAGCATCTCTAATCTTTAGTACTGTGTCCTCTGTTCAATTTTAAAATATTTATAACCATACTTCATTTTACCTTTCTAAAGATACTATACAAAATTATGAAAAATCTACATATTTCATGGTTTATATAGTAATTGTGTTACTTAATTGACTGTTGATGCTAATTATGGTCAAAAAGTATGCATGCACTTTTTTAAAAAAGATTTTCTTTCTTATTTATTTGACAGAGAGATCACAAGTAGGCAGAGAGGCAGGCAGAGAAAGAGGAGGAAGCAGGCTCCCCACTGAGCAGAGAACCCAATGTAGGGCTCGATCCCAGGACCCTGAGATCATGACCTGAGCCAAAGGCAGAGGCTTAACCCACTGAGCCACCCAGGCGCCCCAAATTTTCTCAAAACTTGCATAGGAAATGTATTTGGGCCGACAATAACTCAGGAAACCAACATTTGCAAGCTTCTCTACCTATATCTCAGTTACTCTGCACTTGCATGGTGCTCTCCTGCAATAACATTTTGTAGTCTTAGGGAGGTAAGGATGGGCCATTTTGAGAGGATATTATTCTCAGTATCAGAGCGTAAGACTTGGTATACCAGGAAAGAAAGGAAAAAAAAAGCTATACAAAACTGGGATTGGTGGACCCTGAACTGTGGCAAGCACTGTATTTGCACATGTGCATACGTGTGCATTTGAATCTAATAGTTACAAAACTATTTATGTTTAGCTAAAGTGACTGCCCACTCCAAGACAATGTAGTTACTCCTCATTCTGTAGCAGGTATGGTTTCAAGAAAAGACTACCTTACTGAATCCTACCTTCTGCTTAACATCCCTTATTGCATCAGAAATAATCTCCCAAATGAATACTTAACCATTTACATCAATGTGGATGGAACTGGAAGGTATTATACTAAGTGAAATAAGTCAATCAGAGAGAAAAAAAATACAGTTTCACTCATATGTGGAATATAAAAAATAGTGCAGAGGATCATAGGGGAAGGGAGGGAAAACTGAATGGGAAAAAATCAGAGAGGCAGAAAACCATGAGAGACTCTTGACTGCAGGAAACAAACTGAGGGCTGCTGGAGGGGAGGGGGGAGGGGAGGCTGGGGCAACTGGGTGATGGACATTGCGGAGGGTATGTGTTGTGATAAGCACTGAGTGTTATATGCAACTGATGAATCACTGAACACTACATCTGAAACTAATGATGTACTATAGGCTGGCTAAATGAATTTAAATTAAAAAAAAAAAAAAGCTGATGAGATGGAAGACTTACCAAGGATGTCTGGGTGGAGGCTCAGTGGATACAGGTGAGCTCTAGGTCTCTCTTTGCTGTAACTCTCAGATTTTCCTCTTTCCATGCAATTCCTAACCTTTGTCTTCAGTTTTTACAATGATGAGAAAACTAAAAATTAGTGGTTCCTGACCATTTTTTCAGCCCTTTGAGATGCAGATGAGTGCAAAGAAAATTGTAGCCATGCGTGTCTAATGCAATGATTCCTTCTCCCCAAGATTTTATTTAAATTCCAGTTAGTTAACATACAGCGTTAATACCAGTTTCAGGTGTAGAACTTAGTGATTCGTCATTTACATACAATAGCCAGTGCTCACCTCAGCAAGTGCCCTCCTTAATACCCATCATCCATTTAACCCATCCCCCTACCCACCTCCTCTCCAGCAACCCTTAATTTGTTCTCTATAGTTAAGAGTCTGTAGGGGCATCTGCGTGGCAGTCTGTTAAGCATCCAACTCTTGGGTTCAGCTCATGTCGTGATGTTGGGGCTGTGAGACTGAACCCCGAGTTGGGCTCCAAGCTCAGTGTAGAGTCTGCTTGAGATTTTCTCTCCTTCTCTCTTTACTCCTCCCACTTGTGTCTCTCTCTAAAATGAGTAAATCTATTTTTTTTTAAAAGAGTCTGTTTTCTGGTTTGCCTCTTTTTTTACTCCTATGCTCACCTGTTTGTTTCTTAAATTCCACATGAGTGAAATCATACAGTATTTGTCTTTCACTTCACATAATACTGTTCTCTAGCTCTATCTGTGTCTTTGCAAATGGCAAGATTTCATTATTTTTTATGGCTGAGTAATATTCCATTGCATACATTCACCATATTTCCTTTATTCATTCATCAGTGAATGAACATTTGGCCTCTCTCCATTATTTGGCTATTGTTGATAATGCTACTATAAACATTGGGATGCATGTATCTCTTTAAATCAGTATTTCTGTTATCCTTTAGGTAAATACCTTGTTGTGCAATGCTGGATGGCAGGGTAGCTCTATTTCTAACTTTTTGAGGAACCTCTACACTGTCTTCCAGAGTAGCTGCACCAACTTGCAGTCCCACCAAGAGTTAGAGGGTTCCCCTTTCTCCACTTCCTCACCAACATCTATTGTTTCCTGTGTTAATTTTAGCCATTCTGACAAATGTGAGGTGATACTATGGTTTTGATTTGTATTTCCCTGATGATGAGGATGCTGGGTATCTTCTCATATGCACGTTGGCCATCTGGATGTCTTCTTTGGAAAAATGTCTATTCATGTCTTCTGCCCATTTTTTTTTTTTAAGATTTTTATTTATTTGTCAGAGAGATATAGAGAGTACAGGCAGGCAGAGTGGCAGGCAGAGGCAGAGGGAGAAGCAGGCTTCCTGCGGAGCAAGAGCCCAATGTGGAACTTGATCCCAGGACACTGGGATCATGACCTGAGCCGAAGGCAGCCGCTTAACTGACTGAGCCACCCAGGGATCCCATCTGCCCATTTTTTTAAGTGGAGTATTTGTTTTTTGGGTATTGAGTTTTGTAAGTACTTTATACATTTTGGATATTAACCCATTATCAGATATGTCACTTGCAAATATCTTCTCCCATTCTGAAGGCTGCGTTTAGTTTTGCTGCTTCCTTCACTGTGCAGAAGCTTTTTATCTTGAAAAAGGCTCAACAGTTTGTTTGCTTTTGTTTCCCTCGCATCAGGAGACATTAG